TTATGCGATTGACGCGAGCGCGGCACGTTGATCATTTCTTAACTTAAGCGTTAAATTGTGTGTTCATATCCTTTCTTGTTTAAATAGTGTATTTTCAAAAGATAGCTGAAATGTCTAAAAGTGGTGGTAGGAAAAAAGACCCTATTTGGCAATATTTTATTGAAAAATCAAATAAATCGGACGGAAAAACGGGAAGCAGAGCGACCTATAAAAAAAGGGAAATTTGAATTACGAGGAATTGTTGAGCGGATGAAAAAACACTGGGAAGTATGTCAGAAAACGGAAGTTGTTCAAACAGTTATATTAAATGCTGATCAGGATGCTGACAATGACAGTAGTAATAGTGCCAGTACCAGTACTGCTGGTGCTAGTACTTGCTCAGAGCTGGATTTGAATGTAAGTACAGTTTACCAGTATTATTTGATTGATCATATTGTCATGGGTGTCCTATTGTCCTGTTTAGATTCTAGTTTCTATAACTAATTGAATATCATATAAAAGAGGAGGGTGGCAACTGCCGCTGCTGCCCTGGGCGAACCTGCAGGCCCATATTTTGTTCATTTTTAAAGTATTCATATTGACTGGGAACTATATCATGGTATGTTATTGCAGGTACAACAGCCTACTATGAGTAGCAGCTCTACTTCACATCTGAACTTGCTACAAGACTCGCAAGAAGATAATACTTCACAATCTCTGTTGCCAGTCACTCCAATCAGTAAAAAAAGGAAAGGAACATCTAACTCGACTGCTGGATCGTTATCATCTTTTGCTATTCGGACAAGCAAGTCTAATAAAGAAGAAATAGATAAACAAATCGCTCGAGCTCTTTATGCTACTAACAGTAGTTTCACATGTATGGAACAACCAGAAGTTAAAAAAGCAATTGCGCTTTTACGCCCTGGATATGTGCCTCCTTCTCGACATGATGTGTCCAACCGACTAATCAATGAAGTATATAATGAAGAAAAAAGTAAATGTTTCAAAACTTTATCAGGTAGTTCAGTTTGTTTGTCATTGGATGGTTGGTCAAATGTGCATAACGAACCAATAATCTGTGCTACAGTAACTACAGAAAATGGAAAATCTTTTCTGATAGACACGATAGACACGTCTGGAAAGCCTCACACATCTGTGTATTTGACAGACCTTGCCATACATTTAATAAAATCGCTGAAGACGGACCATAACTGTCTGGTGACTAGCATGGTTACCGATAACGCAGCCAACATGAATGCAATGAGAAAAAAAAAAGAATGGTTGCGCTGCTCATATTTTAAATTCACTTCGTAAAGATTTGGAGGTTCAGGATATCAAGGAGCATGTTGTATTTATCGTAAAGTATTTCCGAAATAATCACTTTGCTTCTGCGACATACGCAAAAGAAGGAGGAAAAAAATTTGTTCTACCCAATGACGTGAGGTGAAATTCACTGGCTGACTGTTTACAAGTTTTTATTGAATCGTGGCCAAAGCTTCTGAAAATTAGCGAGGAACATAGGAATGAAATCGATTCCATAGTGAGAGAAAAAATTTCAAATATCTTTTTAAAAAGATCTGCCGAAGACTATTTAGCGCTTCTGAAGCCTATTTCTGTTGCCATTGATAGGCTTCAAAGAACTGATGGAACCCTTTCTAATGTCGTACGAGAATTCAAAATTCTCGAATTCGCATTTGAGGAGTCAGATATACTTTAAGTCGAACACAAAAATTTAGACACCGATATGAACAATGCATCACTCCATATCATCTGTTAGCATATCTTCTAGATTCGACAAAACCACAACATCAATTAGCTCTAACGGAAGACGAAAAAAGTTGTGCCTTGAAAGCCACAAAAGAACTACTTCCCAGTGGGTTCTTGCCACTAATAATTCAATTCCTGGCTAAATCAGATCCTTTCACCGACATAATGTTTGATGAAGAAATTCTCAAAACTTCAAAAGCTATAAATTGGTGGAAATCCCAACAAAATGTCGATGCTGTTCAAAAAGTACTGTCCACAATTAAACAATTATTATCTGCTACAGCTTCTTCAGCATCTGTCGAAAGAGTGTTTTCAACATTTGGTTTGGTACATTCCAAACTTCGAAATCGCTTGGGAACCGAAAAAGCTGCTAAATTAGTTTTCCTGTATAAGCATTACAATTAACTTATATTATTATAAACTGTTTTTGTTGTTGTGAACTGTTTGTGTTTTCTAAAGTTTAATTATTGAATATTTTTTATATTACGCATGCATCATAATCAACGATTATCGCACGCTGCAGCGTGCATAAAATGATGTTTATGATGCGCCTACCTTTTCAAAGGTTTGCTATAGAAACGTTTGATCTACCTTCATTACCTAGATATTCACATGCCGTTTAAATTACTATTCATCAAAATGAATGAACTCATTTAAAACATTTTTGAGATTATGATGCATTTGTAATATAAAATAGCGTATGATATGCGTGTATGAGGCCTTTAAAGCCCTTGCGACTCACAAAACACTCCGCTGCGCGTCGTGTTTTGAAATATGTCGCGCGTGCTTTAAAGGCCCTCTTATACACTTATATCATAATATACTATTATGTTTGACTGATGACAATTACTCATCTTATGTTTTTACACTTATATGTTGTATGTAAACACTTGTTTTGAATAAACCTTTTCCTTTTCCTGAATTTTCTGATGAGTTATTTGCTTTGGCGACTTGTTTTCACAGCAAATTATAATTTGATTTAAATCATTTGATTTAAATCGTCGCAACTCTGGAAATTAAGACATATTATTATGGAAACACCTTGGTGCGAAAAGTTGTAACATTTTCAATTTCTTGGCTAATATGCTACTTTGTTTTGCCATACTGCATATGATTCCATATAGAACTACAATGAAATAAATGAATAAACAACTATCTTTTCTGTGCCCAGATTTTGTTACCTTGAGTACTGCCTTCTACTGAAAGTTTTTTGGTGCAGGTTTGCAAGTTTTGTTAATTGATCTAGGAAGTTTTGATTCAGTAAGGCAGGGCCCGCTGTTATTGATTAAAATCTTGGGAAAAGGAGGTAGTACCATCATCATCTCTGTTCGCAAATTCAATTAATAAATAATCTGAGGTTATGATAATAATTGTTGTTTACTCTTTGATTTTTCATTTCGATCATGTCATTGAACAGCTGTTTTGTCTATGCGTTTTCATTAGACCTGTTCTACCTTTTGATATATGTTCTATAGGCATTTTTCAACATTCACCAGTAATTTTTATACAACCCACTTTTCGGTTTGTATTTTTGGGATTAAACTGAACACGCTCTTTTCTATAATTTCTCATCAATGTCAAAATTAGAAGTTTGACAAATGAAAACCTTCTTCCGAAATCTAAATGAAGAATCAGCCCTTTTGATCTTGAGACTTGATACCAAAAGGTTGGTCTCAGCCCTAATTGATTTTGGGCGAGACTTTTTGGAATTTTGTGCCAGGGAACTCAAGTTTTAGACTAATTTCTTGTTGATAATTGTCTAGAGTCGTCCCTTGGTCATTTTGGATTCTGTTTCGGTAAGTTTTGAGATTTTCATCAGGATTATTAACCTACAACACGTGTTTCGTTTCTTCAATAGGACTGTTCCGAGCAGCATTTGGAAGTTTAAGACTTCACCTTTGGCTTAGAGCATCCCTCACTTAGAGGTAAGATTATTTCTAATGTTTGAGGCTCGATTTGCTTTTTTATACGAACATCGTTATAGGGTCCTAGTCCTAGTGCTAGGCTGTAGCTAGACAGTCTTAGGCTATAATTGGACAGTTGCTAGGCTGTATTTAGAGAGATTCTAGACTAGATCTGGATTGCTCTCAGTTGGGGCTTTGGTAGCCTTTTTTCAGCAACTCTCTTGGTACCATTCTGGCAGAACCACGTCGAGTTCTACGTTAAACAGATACAACGGGGATAGGACTCATGACTCACTTACCATAGCATTGTCTATCTACAGTGAGACCAAACATGTAGATAACCTCACTTTTGGAACTTCTGGATTTACACATACATTTGAAGATAACAAACACTTGTATCACATGTAAGTTACACCTTTTACTATATAGGCAAATCCTATGTAAATCACTTGGTACTAAATTAGGTTCGGTAAGTGCCCCTTAAATAAAATTCTAGAATTTTACCCTGAGGTTGCCATAACAATAACTTTCATCTTTCTGTGTTTAATTTGCCTGTTGGTAAAGTGTAACCCATACTGTATTTTTCTTATCACTCACAAGTGTAAGTACCAAAAGGTTTTTAGTCATGTTTACTTAAAATTCATATTTATATATGCGTTATTTACATTCATTTTTTATAATCAATTATTTATAAAAAATAAGCCATAATGTATACACATTTTTAACAACGTCCTGGCTATCCCTATTCATTATTGTTATTATTTCTTAATAAAGAAGCCAGATACATTATTGTACCTAATTAGTTGTTTTATTGATAAGCTCTCCAATTGCACGGGTTTTGATATAACATCAATAAGTAATCTTCCTAGTTAAGTCACAATTAACTTGGTGGCGCCCAAAGGTAAGATGTATACAAGGAACCCATAGACCCATGGCTTCCGAACTGAAGCTGACTAGCCGTAGCAGTATAATTAGGCAATTGCCAAAATAAGTACGTTATAAAGTAGAGTGCAAAAATCACCTACTTCGGAACTTTGCAAAGAAAATTAGAGAAATGGCACTTAGAAAAAAGGTGTTTTCGACATTCATGCGCCTTAGAAGTGCCATAACCAAAGCCGCGGCATTCAGGATTAAAGAAGCTACAAATTTAGAAAGAAAAGTTGCATTACTGAGAGGTGATATCAAAAACGCACCTAGTCATGTTTTTGGGAACATGAAGATTGTGAAGCAATAAATTACAAATGTGAAGGCTCAGGAGAAAATCTGGTACCTTACATGAAGCAATGTTGAATTTACGGAGACACCGTGGCTACAGTTCAAAGGGTAATCGATCATTCTAATAACCTCATAATGAATATGGGCAAAAGAGTGAATTACTCTCTGAGAGGTTCCTATCAGACCAGATGTGAAGCCGCAGCGCTCTCCTTTAACTCAGGCGGAGAATACCATCCCGTCATTAATATGGCCATTTTTGGAAACAGTCCAAGGATTTTTCATAAAAAGTATTACCAGCAAAGGATGACACAGAATGCGAGAATTAAAGCAAAGAGAGTATTGATGGCGAAACGAAGGAAAATTTTCAAGAAGCACCTTCCTGATAAAGATTACGGCCCAAATGCTTACTATGTGCCCTTAGACCTGAACAGTCAAGAGTATATAGGAAAAGCAGAAGATTTCCTAAAGGCGCTAAAGAAAACAACTGACGAAATCATAAGAATAGAAAGAAACACACTTGGCCAAAAATCCAATCCACAATGGTTACAGGAAAGATCTCTAAGGATAACGGCGTCTAATTTCGGACAAATTTGTAAAATGCGCCCCACAACTTCGCCAGTAAATGCTGTGAAAAACCTACTATAGGAAACTTCTTTGCAAATGAGGCAACTCGTTATGGCAACGAAAATGAAGCAAAGGCTATTGCCGAGTTCGAAAAGTCATTCAATCTAAAAATTAGCCAAAGCGGTTTCCATATCAGTAGGGAAGATTATGTCACAATGGACTAGTGGGCGAAAAGGGGCTCTTAGAGGTAAAGTGTTCTTACTCCATTTCAGATTAATGTCCATCCAGTGGAATCGTCTTGGGAAAAATAAAATTTGCCCAGATAATGAATGACAAGTTGTTTCTGAAACAAAACCACAATTACTATTATCAAGTCCAGGGCCAGTTGGCCATAACAGACAGAGATTTATGCTATTTTTTGATATGGGGTCCTCAGGGCATGCTTGTAGAAGAGGTAATTTTTTAAATGTTCTATTTTCTATTTGGACAATTTTGATTATTTCTATTTTCTGTTGCAGATTGCACGAGATGATTCATTTTGGCGTGAAAAAATGTTGCCAAAGTTGCAAACATTTTACAACAACTTGTTGCCTGAATTGGTAGATCCTCTTCATCCAAAGGGAATACCCATACACTATAAAGTTGCTACTGTTGAAAAAAATTGAATAAATATGTACAAAAATTCATCACGTCTTTGATCACACCATAATCTTATTCCCCATGTTGAAATTCCTTACATCCACCTACAATAATCCATAATATTTTCAAAAACTTATAAACGAGCTAGAATTTAAATCGATAAGATTCGGTCCTGCATTGGCCCACAGCCATCCTCGATCAAATTTTAATTTTACACGGAATGAATATACTTTCAATGCATTTTTCCCTTTCCCGCTTCGGCCGTAACAGGTACCGTTGCCTATACTTGCGACGCCAGTGCAGTAACATTGTTGCCATATTAGCCGATTTTCGTCTCCCTATCGCTTGCGGCCCGAAATCCGGAATCGCAATCGACGCGTCACTGAATAATCCTCTTAATTAAATTGTCTTACCGAATTGCACTCGAGCTTTTTTTCATCTAAGCAAACTTGGCATACATTTCGTCGGTCTCTGCACGTAGTGGCGTAACTAGCATTTTGTAAATTTTTCTGGAGAGGAAAAAACAAAAGTGTAACCAAATTAATTACCTGTCCAGTGAAAAATATTAGAGCCCAGCTCATTATTGTTTTTTTATTTGATTGCCTAATAGTTAGGCTTTACATAGGTACTAATAAGAAACTGTGAGCTTTTCCGGTTTTCCGGAAAAACAAATATTTTGAACAGTTACGCCTCTATGTGATAATGTTTTTTTGAAGTTTTTCAGTTACGCCATAAGAGTTTTTCCAAAAAAATTCAAAAGACAGTAAAAAACGAATATTTTTATTTAGAAACTGCTAATTCACTATCACAATAAAAATATGTAATATACATGAAAAACTATAAAAACTAACCAAATTCGAAAAAGTTTTTACAAACGGTTCGCTACTGGAAACTGGAAGCTAAATATTTGTAGGTAATGTTATGAGTATAAAAACATAAATACATGACTCGTAGATTGTAAATACGCCACTGCAAGAAATTATTGAATAAAAAATTCTCAATCTGACGTAAGGGCGTAAGTGAATATACGCCTATACGTGGAAAATGAATTTTATTATTTGGCAGATACGCCAAAATCTAAGAATTAAATTCCAGCAAAACAGTTACGCCTATACGTTTAATAATGCTTGAGGTTATAGAGCATCTACAAATACGTATTTTACTGGCGAAACTCAAAATTTTCAATTTTTTCAGTTACGCCACTACGTGCGGAGACCGACGATTTATTCGAGTTTTGTGCCCTTAGTGCGGCTAGATCTATCGTTTGTTAAGTCCATACGGACTCGTAATTTTTTCAGAGACAGTTTTAATAACAAACAACAGGTTTTGACAGTTCTGTCACTTTTTTAAATTTTTTTGCCCAGAATTTACAAACAAGTTAAAAATGTCAAAGGACATATCATAATATATTGAAAACTGAAAAAGATGAGTTGTAGTAGATTGCAGAAAGTGTGTGACAAAGGCAAGAATCTGGAATTGCGAACACAATATTAAGTTTGGACCGTGACTTGTTTTATTCTGTATTAAAGCAGAAATTTGCTCCTAAAAACTCTAGATGCATTATCCTTAAAAATCGTTGAAACTGGTTGCATGATTAGCTCTTCAGGAATATACACTGCACTTCTCAAAATGTATGGAATTTGGTTGGTATTCCAAAAAATAAAAATATTTATTCATCAACACTTAGCAGTTGCAGTTCTAGTCCCAGTTCGAACAGCAACTCGATTTCAATCGATGCCGATGACCAGACCACCGTATTTCAGTTTTCCTGCAATTTTACCACAAAAGAAATCAAAAATTTAGAAGATCAAACAGAATACAAAAGAAAAGATATTTCAAAATTAAAATCAAAACATAAAAGAAATACAAAAATATATTCCACTTTTAAAAAGTACGAATAGTCTCATATTTTTTTATAGGGGAATTAATGAAACGGTACCACAAGTACAAGCTCATTTTCTTTTAATAGAGTTAAAATTTATCCAACTGGTCAAAACTATTGCAAAGTTTTCGGAATCTGCAAAGAATGCAAATCAAAAATTGAAGGAGTTTTACCAGGCAATGATTCAGATATTTTTTCTAATTTCGACGTCAAAATTAATTTTTCATCAAGTGGTCCTTTCAAAACAAGACATATTTTACGGGTTCTTATAAAAAGCAAATTGTAGAAAAAATTACAGATGAATCCAAAAGTGCCTCTGCTATCTGAAACAGCTTAGCATCGGCACGTGTCAATTTTAAAAATAGGGAACAAGCAGACATACCAAAACTATTAACATTGAGAGTAGCAAAACACAGGCATGAAAAGAGTACAAGACTGGATTCAGATGTTATAGTGTCACTATTTGAATTAGGGAATGAACAATTTTGTTCGGGAGCAATTAAAAATATTGGCTATTCACCATTCTTTGTTTAATTCTGAATAGTTCGCAGATTTACCTGTTTCGGCAGTTCACTAAAAACCATTACTGCAAAATACAAATTGATGCGACTGGTGGTCTTGCCAACAAGATCCAGTAACCAAACGGTGACAAATCTAACTACATATGTATTATATAGTGGATGTTATTAGAAAATATTATTTATTTATGTTATTTTGGTACGATAAACGTATATTTATTTATTTATATTATTTATTTATTATATCTTTATATCATAGTTGTTAAGGATACGAATATACAGGAACAGTATTGCGTAAGATTTATGTTAATTGACAGTCATAATAACATTTCTATGAGCACTTGGCTGAATTTTTGGATGAAAGATGCTCAATGCTTTCCGTCTGAAGTTGTCACGGATATGACACTTGCTTTGGTGTACTCGTGCATTAAAACATTCACTCAATTTAAAGACTTTCACTCACTCGCCTATTTCAATGTATTAATGGAGACATCGGATAATAAGCCAAATTGCCACATAAGTATTGACGTTGCTCATATAGTAAAATTGTTTTCAATAAAAAAAGTTCAAAAAATCAACACCGTCTCACTAGAAAATTTTAAACATCTCGTCTCTATTTTGACGTATAGAATAAACAGTGACAGATAACTTAGGATTGCTAGTAAAATAACAGAAAATTATACATCATATGCCTGATTATTACTATTTTATAGGATACAGACCCCCATCCTCCTGCGACTGTATCACATAATACTAATAATTTTCCATTTGAACAATTTTCCATTCGAACCATTCTACTTTTGAATAATTTTCCTTTCGAACAATTGTCCGTTCGGACAATAGACCTATCTATTTTGCCAGATAAAGAGGTGATAATACGAAAAATTCATGAGATAAAAAGGACGCGGAATGCTTAGTGCGCAAGACGAGGCAAAACGTCGCAGCATAACATGTATAATGTCGATGAAACAGGCATACAGACTTCTGCGAAAAAACCACCAAGGGTGTTATCTTTAGTCGAAAAAAAAAAGGTAGGCAGCATTTCTTCTGCAGAGAGAGAATCTTGAATTACCACATTATTCTGTTGCTCGGCTACTGAAAAATTTATACCGCCAGCACTCGGATTTCCACGTAACAAGAAAAACCCAAGATACCTTAATGGAACACCCCCTGGAATCATAGAACTTGTTACTGATTTGGGATGGATAAGTTCTGAAACTTTTTTAGAGTGGATGCAGTTTTTTGCAAGAAGTGTACGACCTAGTGCTGATCAAAAATGGCTACTAATACTAGATAACCGTCCATCACACAGATCTATCCAAATATTGGATTTTGCAAATGAAAATAACATTATTTAATTAACAGTCCCACCACATACAACTCACAAACTTCAGCCACTGGATGAAGCAGTTTATGGCCTTTTTGGGAAATATTTTCAAAATTCGATCGACAAATGGCAAAAACAGCACCCAGCTCAATGTGTTACATTTTATGACATCGGAGAAATATTTCGTGAGATATCGGAGAAATATTTTGTGAGGCTTACTTACGTTCAGCTCTACCTCAAAATGCGATAAAAGCATCCAAAAAACTGGAATTGCCGATTGCAACATAGATTTTTTACCTGCTGAAAAAAGGAATCAAATACACTATTCCATTAATTTACGTTTCATAGTCTTAATTTTTGCAGAAAAAAATATTTCAAATTAGCTGAATTGAACATCGAATGATGGTCTTTTTTCCCATACAAAATTCGTAGGAAAATAACAAAAGATGAAGTGAAAATCAGCCTATTAAATAAAGTGACTCCTTTTGGCCGAGTCTCTCCTACTCAATTGGAATATCGAAGGGAAGTTTCACAAGCATATCTTACTAAATTCGGTGTTGCACGGAAAGGAGTCGGGAATCGAACGACTGCCAAATCCAGTGTAACACTCAACAAAGTTTCGGACAATCTGCGATATGATCGACCTGACCACTTGGTAACCTATATTCCCAATAATAAAAGACGTCGT